AAAGAGCTAGGCTGGGTGGGCCCAGGGCCCGGAGAGGAGGCGAGCAAGCTGGAGGAAAGAGGTGGGGAAGGCAGGCCTCTACCGTTAGCAAGCACGCAGCAGCCTTGCAGAGACGTCCCGTCGGCCACATCCTGCAGCCAGGTGCTGAGCCCTCAAGGAGTGGACCGATCTGCCCAGTCATATGGGGACTCGGCATCAGGATTCGCATCGGCCTGGTGGGAAGCCAGCAGCCCACACTACTTCTGACGGAGGGAGGGCACTGCGGCCCTCCTGCAGCTCCCGCCCACCTCCTGCACCTGATGACGGAGCCCTAGGGAGGCGGTCCTGTGGTCATTTATAGGGTCTCCCTAGGCCCTGGGCCCTCTGTCCCTGTCTCCGCCCACCCCAGGCCGAGGTCGGGGGCCCTGGACTTGGCTCTTGGATGCTGAGCGAGCAGAGGGCACCCTGGAGACAGGTGGTCCGCTCTGCTCCGGCACAGGGATTAGCAGGCTCGTCAAATGGGAGCCTGAGCCGGCTTGGGCTCCATTAGGCAGGCTGGATTAGGGTGGCCTCGAGGATTTGGCAAGGCTGGCAGAGGGAGCCAGCAGAGAACTTGCCATCTTTCTCTTCCGCCACCACACCCAAGGGCCCTGTGCTCTCTGTTCCCAGAGCTGTGCACTCATCCCTCCTGGTTGGAAGCCTGGTGTCAGGAGGCTGGGGTCCCGCTTAACCCTCCCCCCCGCCCTTTGTACAAGCTGGGAAGGGTCAGGTGCGGGGCTGCTGCTGGGCCGGGGCATGCGCTGAGAAGGGCTGAACAGAGCAGGTGCTCGAGGGCGTGGGCCCTGTTGCGGTGGTGGCTCTCCCCGTGCCCTTCTCTCCCAGGACCAGCAGCAGCTGACACCACAGAGCAGGTTCACGGGGTCAGAGCACCCACTGGCTCCTGGTGGAGGACGGGCCATCAGCGAGCAGGCAGGAGGCCCTCTCAGTGGTCTGTGGTTCAGAAGTGTGGTGAGGGCACTTGTGACGAGGGGGCTGCACTTGCGAGGGGAGGGAGCAGGTGGGCTCCAGACCTGGGGGGAAGCAGTTCAAGGGGGAATGAGAGGAAGCCCGTGGCTGGGCTGCCCCTGAGAATGTGCAGTTCAGGAGCAGGGCTGTGCAGGCCTAGCAAGGGAACAACCGGGGCGTTCAGCCTGGGACCGAGGGAAGCCGAGATTCGAGGTCGAGCCCACACCTGGATTCTGGAGCGAGGAACTGAGGGACACATCTGGGCGGTAGACCAAGCTGGGGCCTCCGTGATGAAGTGGCACTTCATGGGGTGGAATATGGGCAGGGCAAGGGCGGAGCCTCAGGCACCCCAGCCCTAAGGGATGGGCAGAAGAGGGGAGGCCGGGCAGGGGTGGTGACTAAGGGCTGGAGAGGCTGAAGAAGGGGCCTACGATGCTGTGGCCACAGCCCAGCTCCAGCTGCCTGGCCGGTGAGCACACAGGGAAGGCCAGGCTACGGATCCTGCTCATCTCCACCAGAGGCCGGAGCCTGGGCGCCGGCACATAGGCCAGCCCCAAATGCACACCGAGGATGCCCGTGACCACCGAGCACCGACACACTCAGACCATCCCTGTGCGCACACTGTGACCACCGGGTGCAGACACACTCAGACCATCCCTGTGCACACACTGTCTGTGACCGCTGGGCGCCGACACACTCAGACCATCCCTGTGTGCACACTGGGTGCCTGTGACCGCGGGGCGCTGACACACTCAGACCATCCCTGTGCACACACTGTCTGTGACCGCCGGGCACCAACACACTCAGACCATCCCTGTGCGCACACTGTCTGTGACCGCTGGGCGCCGACACACTCAGACCATCCCTGTGTGCACACTGGGTGCCTGTGACCGCGGGGCGCTGACACACTCAGACCATCCCTGTGCACACACTGTCTGTGACCGCCGGGCACCAACACACTCAGACCATCCCTGTGCGCACACTGTCTGTGACCGCTGGGCGCCGACACACTCAGACCATCCCTGTGTGCACACTGGGTGCCTGTGACCGCGGGGCGCTGACACACTCAGACCATCCCTGTGCACACACTGTCTGTGACCGTGGGGCGCCGACACACTCTGACCATCCCTGTGCACACACTGTCTGTGACCGCCGGGCACCAACACACTCAGACCATCCCTGTGTGCACACTGGGTGCCTGTGACTGCGGGGCGCTGACACACTCAGACCATCCCTGTGTGCACACTGGGTGCCTGTGACTGCGGGGCGCTGACACACTCAGACCATCCCTGTGTGCACACTGGGTGCCTGTGACTGCGGGGCGCTGACACACTCAGACCATCCCTGTGTGCACACTGGGTGCCTGTGACTGCGGGGCGCTGACACACTCAGACCATCCCTGTGTGCACACTGGGTGCCTGTGACTGCGGGGCGCTGACACACTCAGACCATCCCTGTGTGCACACTGGGTGCCTGTGACTGCGGGGCGCTGACACACTCAGACCATCCCTGTGTGCACACTGGGTGCCTGTGACTGCGGGGCGCTGACACACTCAGACCATCCCTGTGTGCACACTGGGTGCCTGTGACTGCGGGGCGCTGACACACTCAGACCATCCCTGTGTGCACACTGGGTGCCTGTGACTGCGGGGCGCTGACACACTCAGACCATCCCTGTGCACACACTGTCTGTGACCACCGGGCGCTGACACACTCAGACCATCCCCCGCATGCATAGCAGGGATGTCCATTGTGACAGACAGGTCGGTGTCCAGGGCTCGCGCAGCGGTCAGTCCCTGGGTGGAGATGGCCTCACACGTCCACCCTCTCTTATCAGGACATGCTTGTGAGGACATGGCCGTCCCACCTGGTCTCTGGCTCGGGGACGTTGATGGGCTGTGTGTCCATCTGCCTCAGAACGATGAGGAATTTCAAGTGTGAAATATGTTTGAGAACTCTTCACTTTTAAGGAACTCCTTACTAAATGCCAGAGTATTCTGAGTTGGAAGATACTGCTTGTTTGTTTATTACATAGAGAAATATCTAACCAAAATACAAATTTTCTTCAAAAATTAAACAAACCAGAGAGGAAAAGGCTGCAGAGTGACTGAGAGGATGGCCCCAGACCTACGACGAGACCGTGCAGGACAGGGTCTGCCGACCCCCTCTCAGGCGTGTGCTGGGCTGCTCGGGCTGACCCGCAGGCTTTGTGATGTGAGCCGAG